CAGGCACCGGAGGGGGCTTGCAGGCCTTCCTTACCGGGCGAGGCGGGGCACAGCTGCGCCCGAGCCCCCCGGGACGGTGTGTGGGTGCCGGGGGTGCCAGGAGCGCCTGCTTTACTGAAGTGTAACGCACACACACTGAAAAGGCCCGAGCCTTTCGCGTTCAGCTCCATTACCTTTTCGGTGTGTCTACCCTTGTGTAGCCACCGCCCAGATCAACAAGCAGAACATGCCAGTTCCCCCCAAAGTTCCCTGGGGCTCCTTCTCTGTCTGCCTTCCCTCACTGCACCCCCTTTTCTGCCAAGCCTCAGGTAGCCAAGATAGTCTGCCTTTTGCACTTTAGTTTTGCCAATTCAGAGCCAACTGGAATCCCCAATGTGGGGCGCAGCGAAGAAAGAAACTTTATTCAGTGCACACAGCTCAATTTTGATGCAGCGGGGGCTGTGGAGCAGCTCAGGGGCCTCCCAGCTCGGAGGGGCCCCAGGCCGGGAACAGCAGGGCTGCCGGCTGCAAGGCTGTTCGGGTGCCCCGAGGCAGGCGGCTCTGCTCTGCTCCACGCCCCTTCATCTGGTCCCCCAGGGCTGTTTGGTGTTTCATCTTTGCTTCAGCTGCAGCCAGGTAAACACCATCTTCAGTGGAGAGGGACAGTGCGCTCTCCCGGCCACCCGGGAGCTGACTTAGACAGACAGAAGTACAGACCCACGTCCCGGCTGGTCCAGCCTCATACGAATGAGGACTTCAGATCCTCAAGCTTGATTGGTCCAAACGGCACTGTCCTAACTGGTCAGAATGGAGCCGCTCTGATTAGTGGGTGAAGATGCTGATAGGGAAGGCCTGGGACCTATTGGATGAAATACAATTCCAGGAACTCCTTTTTTCTTTTTTTAAAGAATATTTTTATTGCTTTTTAGAGAGAAAGAGGGAGAGGGACAGAGAGAGAGAAACATCGATGTGAGAGCGGCTGCCCCCTGCATACCCTGAAACCTGGGCATATGCCCTGACTGGGAACCAAACTGGCAACTTTTCAGTGCACAGGATGAGGTCAGTGAACTGAGCCACACCAGCCAGGGTGCCAGGAACTCCTTTCTAAGGGCTGGCTCAGACGCCAAGAACACTGGCAGGCAGTTCAGTGCAGGAAGCAGGAGGCTAAGTGCAGGCTTCTCCCTGAAGTACGGTTTGTGTGTGAGACTTTGTGTAAGCACTGTGTGGTTTGTGTGTGTGTGTTTAAAATTTGAGTCCAGTTAGCTCCCAGGAGCCCTTTCTCAGGGTCCACAAAATACTAAAAATAATACACAAAAATGTCATTTGTGTCTTGCTCCTTTCAGCACAGTACATTTGAGAGTCTCCAGTTGTACCCAATAAAGCTGTGATGAACACTCTGGTTAAGATTTTTTTGTGAACATAAACTCTCATTTCTTTGGGGTAATTATCAATGAATGGATTGGCTGGGTCACAAGTTGAGCTTATGTTCACTTCCATGAGAAGCTGTCAAACAGTCATTCAAGGAACATACGATGTTGCATTCCTTCTGGGTTATTTCTTAAATGAAAACAGGGCTACCACAGTGAAATATGTTATCAGTGTTCTTTTTGAGCAGAGTGTCCCTGTGGCCAAACTTGTAACTTTACTTGGAGATAACATTTAAAAATCTCCTTTATGAGATCACCGGATGCCAGAGCTGTGCTGTCATCAGAAGACTGTCGTCAACGTGGCAGTCTTGATAATTCTATAATGTGGAGACACCCATGCAACCTGTTTTGACAAGTCTCCCAGACAATTCTGGTGAACACTCAAGTTTGAGAACCAGTCATTGCCAAAGTTGAGACATTGTTAATTTCCATGACCAAAAATAAATTGTCTCTGATACCTGTCTTTAGACAGCAGTCACAGTGCCTGGTACATCCATTTCTTTTTCTGTAAAACAATGATAATTGCATCTAGGGGCTGCTGCTGTGACGATGCAGTAGACATGCAAGCATTCCGTAACTTTTCCAGCTCTGTGCCCCCAGGCATGACGTTGTCATTGTGGATCATTTTTCATGTAGATTTACATTCTCACTCATGTACTTGTCTCAGGCTTCAAAACCCCACAATGGAGATGACAGAGAGTCTTTGTGGAAGTGAAGGATTCAGGGAAGCGGAAAACCAAGCACTGGATCATTTCTAGTCCTCCGAGCGGCCTTCATCCAATCCTCTAGGAACCTTCTAAATCAGTGATTTTCAGTGTAAGCTCCCCAGACCAGAAGCACCTGGGAACTTGTGGGAAATGCAAATTCTTGGGCCCCACCCAGACCTGCTGAATCAGAAACCTGGGGGGTAGGCTAAGCAATGTGTTTTGATAAGCCGTACCTCCCCACACCTCCCCCATGATTCTGATGCATGCTGGAGTTTGCTGAGCCCACCAAAGTTGAGACTTTGTTGGGTTTCTCTGACTGCTGTTGGCCACTGTGCTACCAACCCAGATAGGAAATAATGACTGGTGGTGCCACTCTGTCCATCACTTCATCATGATCACTTAAGAGCTTGAGCAAGATGCTTGGCAGTACAAGGGCCATGTGCTGGCCTGGTGTTAAAAAAAAAAAAGGCTCCACACTCAGCTTTCTTATTGCAATGACCAAAGTCAGGTCATGAAAACTCCTTTAAGAACCCATCCTTCCCTCTGCTTCTCTTTCTAGGATCTTTCCATGCTATCACCACCCTTAAGCAATAGCTTCAGGAAGGCCTGAGTCGCCCAAGTGGACTCTCAAACTTTCCTTTTTCTACCCTTCTATTGATAACGAGCACTGGTGCTAAAGTTGATTTATCCCATCATTACCACCCCGCCATCTGCCTAAGGCCCTATGGTGGCTTACGATTAGGAAGTAAACCAGAACCAAGATTTTATGCGTTTGCTTGGAAGCCATTTGCCAGGATGTCCTGTGTATTGGTTAGGATGCATGCTGTTGCCAAGTAACAGAAATTGGGCCAAGCAAGGTGGGTATAATTGCTCATGTAATTGCAAAGTCCCAAGTGTGCCAGCATCCGGGGCCGAATTAGTTCAACAGCTTAATGACATAATCATGATGAAGTTTCGTCTCTTTTCCTTCCAGTCACCTTCATCCTATGACTGGCTCCCCCTTGTGGTCACAATATAGTTTTGGCCAACAGCTTCCTGCCTACATGTCCTCAGAACTTTTCCCAGAACCCCTGAGCAAGCCTTGAGTCACACCCCATCCTTGATCCACTCAGCGTCACCAGGGGATGCCATTCCTTTGGCAGAGCTACAGGCTCCATTCCTAGAGCCACAATGGGGTTAGCTTCCCTGAAGGAGCTGGGGTGCTAAGTGGGTGGTGTGGATACTGAATAAAAACAAGGGTAGTTAGATAACAGGAGGGAGAAGAGATGTGGGGGAGACAGCAAGTTATTCTGAATATTCTATTTGAAAAATCTGCCACTGACAGGGATGTTTTCTCAAAGCATACCTTCTAAATGAAATGTCTCCTCAGTCAACAACTTTCTTGCCACTCACCATTCCTAAGTGTCTGAAAAGTCATCACGTCTGCGTTGCCAAGCACTTCCCCCCAAACCCTATCCTCTTTTATACAGACATCAAACACCTAAATTTACTTACTCCCTAACTTATAACAATATGTAGTGGAACCTTCCTTGTTGTCCTAAGTCATCGACACTGGACCATTTATCTCACTTTCCCTCAGAACTCTGCCAGAACTTACGTGAAGCCAAGGTAACGAACGAAGGCTTCTTAGGTTGCCACCCTTTAGTGTCTGTGTGCACACTAGCCTTATATACCAGATTTTTTTTTAAAGATTTTTTATTGATTTTTAGAGAGAAAGGGAGAGGAAGAGAGAAACATGGATGTGAGAGAGAAACATGGATCAGCAGCCTCTTGCATGCCCCCTACTGGGGATCGAGCCCACAACCCAGGCATGTGCCCTGATCAGGAATCGAACCAGCAAACTTTCAGTGCACAGGACGATGCCCAACCAACTGAGCCACACCANACCAGCAACCTTTTGGTGCACAGGAGGATGCCCAACCAACTGAGCCACACCGGCCAAGTTTGGATTATTTTTTTTCTGTGAAAAATCATCTTTCAACTAAAATAATAATTGTCTAGGGGACAGGAGTATAAACTCTAAATTGATTTTTTTCCTACCCAGGGCTGCTTCTTCAGTTAGTGTTTTTAATTGTCTGTGTTCTACACAGAGATAGTTTATGTATTTAAAATCTTTAGTGTGCTGATGCCCTGAAGGAATTTTCCTATGAAGGAAGCAATTTAAAAATCTACAAAGATAACGATATTGAACATTGTTGTCTCCAGCTTCTCTTGTATTTTCAAATATTGGCTAAATATTTATCTTTGGGGGCTCTGAGTTGGAAATAGCAATGGAGACGAACTGCCTGAAGCATTTCATTGATCGGCCATGAGTGGGTAAATACATCAAATTAAAAACCCACCCAACTCCCTCAGAGAAAACGCTGAGGTTTTGGAAGGGCTGAGGGGTGCGTGCAGACGGCGATCACAGGTGGCAGAGAGGGGTTCAAGTGCACTGTGCACTACCCCTCGTTACCACATTTTTTAAACCCCAGAAACCTATTCTCTCATTATGTTGGCTGTGTTGCATGTGCCCCCCCCCCTTCTTTCTTAAGAGAAAAATTAATGCAAACCCAGTTAGAAACTTACCGCTACATCTGAACAAGACACGCATTTTGTTGTCTAAAATCCCACACTTAAAAACTATTCTTTGAACAAAATCTCTCAGTATTCAAAAGGGGAAATAGTAATTTCCTTTCAGTTAAAAATAAATGCTGTTTTTTGTTTTGTGTTGTGTTTTGGTGAACTCTCAGGGCAACACAAAAGGTCACGTTCCTGAAAAACCACCAACAAGGACAAGACAGCAAGTGACCTGCATGGACACAGGCGAGTCATTGTTTTCTTGAAATAGGTGTGTTTGCTGCTACTGGTTCATGACAGACCTACAGTTGTAGTCTGTTTGGAAGATGTTTCAATGTGGTTTATGGAACTTTTTACCCCAGAAATTACTTCCTATTAATGTAGGCATGATTATAGAAATCACAGGCACATGTGGGGGGAGGGGGGCAGAGAGAGAGACAGACGTAAAAGCAGGCTTCTTTCTTTATGACTGCTCCCAGAAGCAGACCATTGTAGGTTATAGTTTTTCTGCCTTTTATGGAGACTTGATTGCAATATAAAGTACTTAGAAATACCCTACAGAGCACGTGGAAGATGACTATGACTCTGTGAGTGTGAGAGATGAATGGAGCAGAGCATACACATTCTGGTGAATTATTTCTGCTTTTCTTGCAACATGAGTGAGTTAGAGGCTGTCCGGGTCCTGCAGGTCTCTGTCACCGAAGCTCCACCTTCACGGCTTGCTAAATGGTGGGACTCAGAGTAGCCTCCTGTGCCCCCAACACCCACCCACTCCCACACATCTGCACCCTACACCACCTCTTATGTGTGGTAGCCCCTCCCCACTACCTCTCTGGACCCACAATTCAAAAACATTCTTCACTGTGCCCTTCAAAGGTCTGGGGTGGGTGTTAGACACTGAAGAAATCCCACCTCTCCTCTATAGGGGTAAACAGAACTTGGATACGGAATTAGAATCAGGTAAGTAGGAACCCAACACAAACAACAAACAGAAAGAAACAAATCCGTTAGAGAGGGCAGAAGAGCAGGGGTCCACAGAGCGAGAGCAGGGCTGAAACTCTCTTCACTGTCATCAACTCTACTTAACGTTTCTGTGGTTTCTTGTTTTTCAAAAGAAGCTCCTGTTGAAAAATCACCCAAGATACACTGCTGTAGCAAGAACCGTCTGCCCAAAAACACTTCCTCTAAGTGCACATCTGCCTGGCCCACCGGGTCCTTCCCACCGGCTGATAATATAGAGTAACAGTGTGACGGAGCATTAGTGCTGGAGACTGGAGACTGGAGAACTTCTGGTCCAGTATTTCCCATGAAATATGGTGCACATGCCACTGTGGGCAGCAAGATTATTTTAAGGTACATACAAGTATTTATCCTTTTAATGGCTACACACTGACTTTAATATGTATTAGGAAAAAAAAATACCACCAGCACATCAGTCACTGGACTCAGCAGCGCCAATTAGGGTGGGCTCATTACCAAGATCCAAGGTCAGTGTCTTAATGCTCTCTGGGCCTACTGATTAGCGCATGAGAATCAGGGACACCAATGATCCCAGAGTTGGGGAGATGGGTCACTCCTACCACCCCGGCCTAGTGGCCATGGACAAGTGTCTCCTAGCAATATTGTACCTGGACAGCCCTGAGGATGACGGACAGCACCCCACCTTGGGCTTCAGCAACAGGTCTCCTTCCTCAAATCAGTACAACAGCATCCAAGATTTTGAAACATTTAATCAAAAAAAAAATCTGGCATTTTAAAAGTTAGGGTTACAAACTTGACACATTCTTAATATTAGCATTTGATCCATTTTTACATTGTCTAAGAAAATAATAATAAGGTCTACGAAGACATCAATGAGATCTTTAAGAGGTCTTATAACCTATAGCACTTTGCAAATAAGCATCCAGTTTAATTGTAACAAACCACTGTGAGCAAAATTTAACTAAGTATATAAAAACATTAGTTAAATACAGTTCTCTGGAAATATACATTATACCTACAGCTGTTTTTACAGTGAGACCCCCCCCCATAATTCTCAAAATGGCTAATCACTGTACGGTCCTGGATCTCCAAGCTATAAAACTGAAATATGTGTTTCCAGCGTAGCAGATGGTGACCAGGAAGGCAAAGAACTGGAGAAAACAAAGCATAAAAGAAAAGGGGTTTAGGGCAGATTCTAATTGGCAAAAGTCATCATTTCACCTCCACTGAATCATGCACTCACAGCAAGCATCCCCTGACTCCAGGCTTTCTCATCTAAAACTGCTTCATTGGTTCAATTACCTTCCTTCTGAAATGATTTCTGGCTGTGCTTTTCTTTTTGGGAGCATATCTGGAAAGCCTACAGTTTTGCTTGAATAACCCCAAGGTATTCACTGAGAAAAGCATGTGTATTTCTAACTTCGTATAGTAGTTTCTCCCTTATCTGCAGGGGTTACATTCCAAGGCCCCCAGTGGATGCCTGAAAATGTGGATGGTACCAAACCCTATATATACTACATTTTTTCCTATACATACATACCTATGATAAAGCTTAATTTATAAATTAGGCACAGTAAGAGATTACTAATAACTAATAATAAAATAGGACAATTATAACAATATACTGTAATGAAAGTTATATGAATGTGGTCTCTCTCTCCCTCTCTCTGACAATCTATCTGATAACCAAGAAGGCTATTAAGTGCTAAGGGGCAGGGAGCCTATATACTGTTTGGATCCAGGGACAAAGGGATGATTCACATCCCGGACAGGAGAGGGTGGGATGGTGCAAGATTTCACCATGATATTCAGAATGGTGTGCAATTTAAAACTTATGAATTGTTTATTTCTGGAAGTCTCCATTTAAGGTTTTTTGGACCGTGGTTGACTGCGGGTAACACATTGCAGAAAGCAAAACCACGGACAATGGGGGACTCCCGAACAGGCAATCTTAGACCAGGGCTTACCGTTAGATTGCCACAGGGTCGGTTAACACAAATGAGTCGAACAGACAGGAGGAAGTCATGAGCCCATACGAGGTGTGTGGCGAGGATGGTGAGTTGGAATATGCAGGCCCCTCTTATGGAGCAACCCCCACCCAGTTCAGCTGATTCTTGCTGAGCCCCGTGCTGCGAAAGCCTGTGATTTTTTAATCTCATGTGCCCCATGCTCTCTACTTTACACAGCAATTTTGAAATATAAGTAAAGAATATAATGAATGCCACATATCATCAATCAGCTTTAACGTCATCACTTTGGCATTCCCGTTTAACGGCGCCCCCCCCCCCCTTTGTGGATAGAGTATTTTAAGGCCAATATTAGACAAACTTTCAAAATTAAGTTTTTAAATTAGGAAAACGATACATGCTTATGGTTGAAAAATGCACACAGTACAGGTGCATATTAATTAAAAAGTAGAAGCCCCTCTCTGTTGGAAGGAACCTCTCTGTTGGTGTATATTTATTTTTCTAAGCATTCTCAATGCATCAACAAACATTTCTACTTAAAAACAGAGGCCTGGCCAGTGCGGCTCAGTGGTCGAGCATAAACCTATGATCCAGGAGATCACAGTTTGATTCCTAGTCAGGGCGCATGCCCTGGTTGTGGGCTTGATCCCCAGCAGGGGGTATGCAGGAGGCAGCCAATCAATGACTCTCTCTGGTTGATGTTTCTATCTCTCTCTCCCTTTCCCCTCCTCTCTCTGAAATCAATAAAAAGATATTTAAAACACACACACAAACCCCAAAGAGGATCATCACGTGCTCATTTTCTGCAACTCTTCCCACTTAGACGGCAGTCAATAGAATTCTTCTTAGAATGCCTCAAGTATTTTTTTCTCTCCCTCAAATACTGATTTTGTCCCAGCCCTTTTGTTTTCACTCAAGCACAGCCTTTCAGCCTCTGCACTTTGGGCATCAGGAGGCCCCACCGATTTATGTCGCTTTCAAACCAATGAGCTAATTGCCAATGCGTCGTACTGCAGGTGGTGCTTTTTCCGGCAGATCCCCAGAGGGTCTGGGGGAGCAGGGAGGAGGTGGTGGGGGGTGACTGGCTCACTCACCGATGAGGCCGCCCAGCTGTTGAAGTTGTGGCTGTCCCTCTCCGGGGAGACGGAAGACGCGTCCACAATAGCGGCCGAGAGGTACAAGACGAAGGCACTGCCGTTAAAGCACAGCCCCTGGGGAGACAGAGGGCTGGAGTGTTTGGGGGGCAAGGGGAGGTCTGGGCACCTCTGAACCTCAGAATCGGACAGAACTGCACCCCGGGTATGGTAAGGAGCTCATCTGGACACTTGGGGGAGGGCAGGGGACTAGGGCTCTGAGAAGGCAGCTCACCCGTGTTTTGGGGAGAGGGTTTTATATCATCTCATTCACAGCACCCCAGACACCCCGTCGTCCCCCCGCATACACCCAGGCTGCACACTGCCCCTTTAGCCCCTTCTCTCCCTCAGTTTGCCATGTTCCTTGTTTCATCCGACGTCAGCTGTGGTGACATACTGGCTGAGGAAGGAAGGCCGCAGCAGGTGCCACCAGTGAGCAGTGCCTCAGCCCGTGGCCCCCCGCAGGAGCTGCACCCTGGGCACCTGGGCCCGCAGGGAGCTGCGGGAGCGCTGTCCCAAAGCAGGCCCAGCTGACTTTCCGACCCCTCGCTCTAGGCAGGGAGGGGCATGTGATGAGCTCCTCAAGCCACTGCAAGATCTTTAAAAAGCCAAATGCATGATCATCGCACCCAAACAAAATTGAGCTCTAGACAGAACAATCTGGAGTAAGAGGCCAGCACCTCCCTTTCCACCTCGGCTGCTGCCTCTGGGGTTCAAACACTCACTTTCACACGAATGGAGCCATATAGTTATGCAGAGGAATTTTAAAAATTGAATTTACCCGGGTGACATTGGTAGATAAAACGATATAGGTTTCAGGTGCACAGCCCTATCGCACGTCATCTGCACACGGTACTGTGTGCTCTCCACCTGCCAAGTCTCCTTCCATCACCATTTACCCCCCTTTACCCTGCAGCTGAGCAGAGTTTTAAGTAAAGCGTTGAAGGAGCAGCTTCCTTCCCCCTGACCGCTTATAGTAAAATGCAGGACCCACGGGCGGATGACTCGATCCCCCCCCAGCTGGAGGGCGGCGGGCGGGCTCCCTTACCACGGTGGTCCAGGGCACCTGGGGGATCCTGGTGTAGGTCATGGTTATGTAGATGACCAGGAAGAAGACCGTGAGCACCCAGTAAAACACAGCCACGAACATCACCCAGCCGAAGGCAGGCACTCGGAAGTACTCGGTTCCGGCGATCAGCGTCCAGACCAGCAGGCCCAGGACCTGGGAAATGATCGAGGCCACGGGGAAGGGAGGAGGCGGGAGAAAGTAAAGGAGACAAAGACGACAGAGGAAACAACCATTAGAGTGTCAGTGACCCCCTTGCACACATACACACACACAGACACGTGACCTACAAACACAGTGGGGGTTACACACTTACATGCCTCCGAAGGCCAGGAAGGTAAAAGGAGCGAGCACAGTAGGCTGGGCAGAGACCACGGCCAACAAGGACACCTACGTCTCATTTTAAGGGGCAGTCTCTACTCAGCTCCGGCCAGCGGTGCGCTGGTGTTGCTTTATTTTTTTCCAGGAGAACACAGAAACTCAAGTTTCTACATGACAACCTTGATTTTTAAATGATGGCACTAACAAGAGTTTTAAAACATCGTGGGGGGCAAAGCAACACACATCTGTGGCTAGAATTTGCTCCCAGCCTGATACCCGTCCAGGGAACAAGTGCAGGTCCATTGGAGGTGGTCCCTGACTGACCTGCTCTCAGGGGTGAACTCTGAGGAGTCTGCCCCTGCTCCAGTGCCCTCCTCGCAGGCGGTCAGAGAGCTCTCAGGAGCCACCATCAGCAAGGGCCCCGTCCAGCTCTCAGGAGCCACCATCAGCAAGGGCCCCGTCCAGCCCCGGCACTCAAGCGTCTGAACGCGAGCCACACGTTTACCCGGTGACACTCACCAACACTTCACCTCTGCTGACGAGCAAGACCAAACCCCAAGCCAAGTCACTGTCACCACTGACTAAAGGACTTCATCAGGGGAGAAGACCCCGATGGACATCCTAGGCGTGTTTAGTCCTGGACAAAGGAGGCCAGAGTGAGGGATGCATCTCATGTTCCAGGGCTTTTCAAGGACCGCGAGGACTTTATTCCTAAGCCATAAGAAAGTTAGTATCCAAAGACCAAAAAAAAAAAAAGAGAGAGAATGAAAAAATAAAAAGGAAAGAGTATCTAAACCATAGCCCCAGGAGACAGCATCAGGGGTCCCAGATGGGCTTGTTGAGTGACTGGGGACAAATGATTTCATTTCTGTTTTAGCTTTCCTCTTGGTAAAGGGAACAGAACACCAGGGCAATTTTAATCACAAAGCAGGGAAGGTCGCTTTCATGTATTTGTTTAGCAATTGAGAGCATCTAAAACGTGCCAAGCTTCCTGCTCTCAGGCCCTGAGAACAGAGTGGGGCAAAAACAGCAACTTAAGTCTGGTGGGGCGAAATATCTGAATAAATACAATTATGAAAGAAATGCTAAAAGAAAACAAAGGGTATAACAGGGAGGCAGGCGTGAGAAGTGTGGGGAAGGCCACGCTGAAGTCGGAGGGAAGACACGTGCTATGCAGAGAGCACAGCACAGGCGAAGGTCTGGGGCGGGGGGAGCTTTCTGCCTTCTAGAACCTGTTTGGAAGTGCAGAGAGTAAGGATATTGGTGCAAAACACTGGAACGGTTGGGGAGGGTCAGATAATGTGGGCCCAGGAGTCTGTATTTTATCCTAAGGGCAGTGGGAAGGTTTTGAGTCTGTATTTTATCCTAAGGGCAGTGGGAAGGTTTTGAGCAAGATCACGATAAGATCAATTTAAGTTTTCATAAGGCCACTCTGGCTGCATGGCGAGAAATGGACACATGGAGGGGAAGGGTAGGTGGGAGGGGACCAGTTCAGAGACTGTAGCGATAATCCAAGTGGGAGAAGATGACAGACAGTAGGCCATCTGCATCGCTGGTTCCACATCTGCGGATTCAACCAACCGGGGATAAAAAATATTCAGAAGGAAAAGGGGTTACGTTGCCGACGACGTGTGCCATGCAGGTAGCCCTGCGGCGGCTGCATCTCTCCTCCAGCCTCCTTCCTGAACAGGAGGGTAATGAGCTCCACTGGGTGCAGTTTCTCTAGCTTAATTTTACAATTAAGTACAGAGTTCTTAACACAGCTAATGCTTTGGATGACCCAGGGTCATCACGAACAGAGTATTTCAATTACTGCCTTGTGCTATGAAATGAGATTGCTTGCCCCTCCTCTGAATGGTACCAGATATTTGTGTTTTTCTAAGAGAATGTTTTAAATTGGAAATCATCAATGGTCACCTCTGCTCTCCTCTGCCCTTTGTGTGCACACGCCCACGAACATCTTCTTTATTCTAGCATCCTACAGACTAAGAAAACAGATGTCTTAAATTTTTAAAAATCATACTGAAAAGACACAATAAGCCTGTGAAGACTCCTGTATAGTCAGGTCTATGCAGCCTGTGGGCTTCGTGACAGCTATTCTGCTGCTCAGAGGAATCACCTGATGCCCTTGCTGAAGGGTCTCATTTGTACAAATATCTCCCGAGTATTTATGACGAGCCAGGGGCTTTTCTAGACACTGTGGGTGGGGCAGGAAATGCTACACTGCTAGGATGGCTGATTTATTTGACTTTAGCCTTGATTGGCACGACCACCACTATTGCATCTGAATTTCAGCCTTGAAAATGGACAAGTGACTTCTGACGATTAACTAGGCCGCCCGAGGAGCACTGTCCCAGCTGTTCCCAGCTGGCTCTGCCCAGAGCAGCTGCGTTGTTCCGGTGTGAGTTCAGCACACCTATGAAATACCTCACTGGGCTTTAAATCATTTACCATATTAATTCCTCGCAATGAAGTGGCACTGGAAATCAGCTAACGAGATTTACTCTTATGTGCCCTGCAACGAGGGAACCAAACAGTGTTACCCTGCCTGGCTGCTCTTCTCCTGATGTTAAACACACAGGCAACATTCATTCATTCACTCATTCATTCATTCACTCATTCAAAAACCTCCCTGAGTACTCAAGGGTAGAATCAGACATAGTCTCTGCCCCTGGATCAGTGCATATTTAACTATAAACTGTGATAAATCCTACGAAAGGAAACTAGGCCGTATGAGAATGTAAAGCATAAGGACCCAACCAAGTCTGGAGGGTCAGAGGAAGTTCGAGAGTTGAACAGGTGACTGGGCGTTAGCCAGGCAAAATTTGCGTGGTGCAGAGGACAGGGAAGCTGATTCTTGCTGTTTTCTTGCTGTGCTGGGGACATAGCATGACCTAGAATGCCCCCAGCCAGCCCCCTCCCAAGTGCTAATCTCTGGGCAGAAGGAGGTTCTGGCAAAATCAGTAGATGCCTCAATGCAAAGCCATCCCCAGTTCTGCAAAACAAGATTGCCAGCAGCTGCCCACTAATGAAGGGCCACCAGGGAGAGCCATGCTCAGGGCAGCGTGGGGCTGATCATTACAAGGCCCTTTTACCTCTTGGTCTCTCAAGGGACCAGCTGGTTCATTTTAAGCAGAAACAAATGGAAAGAAAACTGGATGGCAGCTAATCCTATTTGCTCTGATGGTTCAGAGAGAGTGCTTTTAACACAATGAGTTCCGAGAAATCCTGGAAGAAAGTTGTTGTATCACAGGGGTTGACATGAGATCCCTCTCAGGTCAGCAAACACGCTCTGAGCATCTGCTACATGCCAGGCACAGTGCTAGGTGCTCAGGGTTCAAAGGTGAGCAAGGCTCAGAGTCCTGACCCCAAGGAATTTACTTACCATCTAGCATAAGAGACAATTCAGCTCACTCTTCCTCACCGGGTGGACAACTATGGCCAGTGGTCATGTGCAGCCCACTGCCTGTTACCTACAGCCCACGGACACAGCCATGCTCATTCATGACGTATTATCTATGGCTGTTTTCATGCTATTAACGGCAGAGTACATAGCCTTTGGCTGCAAAGCCTAAAATATGTACTCTCTGGCTCTTTACAGAAAAAATTTAGCTAACCCTGTCAACCATCACACATACTCTCTGCACTAGGAAATACACACAGAGCACATACACGTACTCACATTTTTGTTCCCTGCATTGTTTCAAATAAACCAGATTATTAATACATCGAGCCAGAGAAGATGACAGGACAAAAGCGGGGATCCCTTCCCTGCACCATCAGGGAACCACAGCATCCTCAAGCTGACCGCTCCTTACACCTGCCGGGCATTTTCCTTCCAGAGTCAAGGGGACTCCTCCAGCCAGTCATCTCCATCCCATTCCGGTCAGCAAACACGGTGACCTCCATTTACCCACTAGAGGGCGGCCAAACACTGCTTCTGAAGGATTAAGGTGCTACAGTCTTGTCTATAGTTCTGACACACCGCTTGAAAATAGGCTCCTCTTGAATGTAGAGACTTGGTCCTGATGAACAGAGTTGGCAGAAATGACACATGTGACTTGGGTCATAAAAAGGGCACATCCCCCACTATCTCGATCTTGGATCCCATGCTCTGGGGAAGTTAGTGGTCATGTTGTGAGGACATGCAAGCAGTCTCGTGGGGAGGCCTACATGGAGAGGAAAAGAGGCCTCCATCCCTCCAACAGCCAGCACCGACTTGCCGGCCAGGTGGGTAATGGTGGATCTCCTAGTCCCAGTCAGGCCTTAAATGACTGCAGCCCCAGGGGACATCTCACTGATGTCAGGAAAACACCTGAGCCAGAACTGCCCAGCCTGGTTGACTCTGAATTCCTGACCCACAGACATTATGTGTGATAATAAATGTTTACTGCTATTTTAATCTAAGTAACAGATGACTAAAACACCAAGTTCCATCTCAATTGGGCTTGTAAACAAAGGGCACTGTGATAGAACGGACAGAGGACCTAGGTTTGTCACTAACTTGCTCTTTGAGCCATAGGTTAAGCCATTTCCCCTCTGGGCCTCAGTTTGTGCCTCCACAAGATGGGTACAGCACCATCTAGGCTGCTGCAGGGTCTAAAAGGTAATTTGTGATCTGCAAGATCTAGGTGAACAGCAGTGACCACTAGTCTCATGTTTTTTCTTCCAGGAAATATGATTTAATGCTTAGCTTAGCTGGCATCTTGGCATTGACGGTCCTAGAGTACTTAGCCAGTGAGAGAAAGGGAGTCTATGCTCATAATTAGAACCACTGGGCTCAGGGTACTGCGGAATCGCTAGAGCAGAGTTGGCACGCTTTGTCTGTAAAGGGCCAACTAGTCAATATTTTCAGTTCTGAGGGCCATATGGTCTCTGTCACAACTACTCAATTCTGTCATTGCAGCATGAACGCAGACAGAGACAATATGCAAATGGGTGGGAGTAATTGCTCCACGGAAAAACTGTATTTACAAAAACAGGAGGCGGGATGGATTTGGCTGGTGGGCTATCATTCGCCAACCTCTGCCCCCGAGCCTCCCTTCTCCAAGTGTGTGGTCCCCAGGGCAGCAGGATCAGCACCCCCAGGCATCTGTCAGGAATGCATGCTCTCAGGCCACCCAGCTCTGCTGGACTGGCCTCCCTGGGAAGGGGCCCAGCACCCTGTTTTCACAAGCCCCTCTAAAGCACGAGTTAGAGAAGCCCCACCTCCCGTCCCTCTCTGCCACCTGGAGCCCTGTGCACCAGGGACTTCAGAGGGATCTTGGATGACAATGACCTGAGCAAAGATCTTCGCAGGCCTCACGAAGAACACTCATCATCTCAACATTCTCCATGAATCAGTGAAAAATTCATCAGCAAAGCAGCAGCGAGTCCCAGCCAAGTCTATCAGGATTTTCAAGACAAGAGAACAAACTGGTAAAAAAGAGTGAAGAGCCTGGATTCA